CTCGAAAACGGTGCACAACAGAAAGGAAATTAGGTGAATTTTATTCTAGAGGATCTCCGGGTTAAAACATTTTCTGAAAAGATTAACAGGTTAACATTCTTTCCCCTAATATGCAAAAACTCGAGGGGAAGTTCTGACAGATATCTAATTCATCAGGGGAAACTGCAGACTGATTTTCAATTTTATATTTTTCGTTTTTTAATATTCAAGTTTCCTTATCTTGATATTTAAAATTGCCTTGTCTGAAATAACTTTGACATTTTTACTCTTACCTGGACAACAACATTCAATTTACAATTCAATTACAGTGAAAGTTATACGTATAAAAAACAACTGAAAAAAAAAAAAAAAAAATATATATATATATATATTTAAAAAAACTACAATAAAAAAGGCTCATACTCTAATGAGTCCATTAGGTCTAATTATATTGGTCATAATTAGTATTTAGTTTTTTTTTGTTTTGTTTTGTTTTTTTCATCCTAATAAAATATCTAAGGTGTAAAAAACAATAGTTTAAAAATAAAAGATAATATTAGTGGAATATTTTTGGAAACTGAAATATCCTAGAAATCTTAATTTATTATGGTTTTTAAAGTATTTCGTATCTATTTTGCGTGGCCTAAAATTAAATAAATGTCCACAACATTCTCTCTAATGGGTTGGGGGATGGGGGGTATAATTGTTGCAAATAATAAAATCTATGAATGTGAATAATATTTATCAATCTGAAATGATCCTAATTAAACAATAGAACGAAAGTCACCTAAAACATACCTTAAGTGTGTAAGTTTTGGTCTCTAGCAGACTCATTATTGCCTCATCATTGCTGCAGTTGACTGCATCCTCTGTTCTCTGTCTGGAGGAAGTGGTGAGGAGGTCCCAGACCTCCTGCACTCAGCGGGGATGTCACACACACCTCCAGCTCAGCCTGAGTGTGTTTGTGCATGTGTGCAGAAGGGGCGTATTTGTATTGTGTCTGTGTGGCATTAAAGGGCAAGGTCAACCCATTCCTCTGCAAACAATCACATCACACAGAGCAAAATACATTCCAACAACCCCCCGCCCCCCCTCCCAACTTCAGTTTGTAAAGTGGCCTGATGTGGGAACAGTGGATGGTGAAGAGGGTCTGGGCCCCTGGCCAGTAGGGCCCCTCTTAGTCCAGATGAAGGGAAACCTGCTACACATTATAATATATTTATTTCACATATGTTATAAAATGTGGGAAAGATGGTTCTTTTAACACAGACAGACCTATTGAACTGCTTCTTTTGTCGCGGCATTTTTCAACCTTTTACCTGTGGATTTAGTGACATGCACTGAGTGACGTCAGCAGACCTGAGGGACGTCCTCTTAAAAATTAAAACATACCAAAATTATCGAAAGGAACCCTTAAATACTTTTAATGATGGAACTTAGATGGAACTTAAAAAAAGATTAACTGATCGTCATGAGAGTTCAAATCATTATGCGTTTTGCTGGCTGGATTAAATTTGGATTTGAAAAAGTAATCTATAGATTTATGATGATTACAAACACATAAATGCACACTGACACAAACAGCTTTAAAATGTTCCCTTTAATTTTAATATAGTAAAAATCGGTTTATTTTCATTATTAATTCTAAAAATTCAATATAAAAACAATATATAAATGTTTTGACTATTGTACTTGGTATTCAACTCATCAGAGATGTTGCACATTATGATTAAGAGGGGTGCCCTTGGTAAAAGATTTCTTTGTGAACCAGAAAACTGCTGACTTATTCCTCAAAGGGCATCTCTCTTTATCATTTACCGCAGCTTGTTGACAATGACTTCTGGTGTATCGCAGCTCCATCTAGTGGCCGCAGTACAGAACTGTCTCGAGGATAAACATGTTTAAAAGAAGTCTAAACGATCATCCCAGATAAACAGTCGTCTTAAATTGGATTTTAAGCCTTATTTTAAAAGTAGCTAAAGTTTACAACAAACATGTTCAACTAAGAACTGCACGTACCACTTGGTATTCATTAGAAGATTTCTTTAACCCACTCAGGGTCAAAGTTTATACAACAGTCTCAAATACCTTTGTACATTCTCTGTGCTCACCACAGTCTTATGTGATTGCCCTGCTGGAATAAAATGCTACAAAATACTAGTCATTACATCCCAAGGTTTTAACATTGACCTGTTCAACTAATATTTGATCCAGAACTGTTACCTTGCCCAAATGATTTTAGCCATAAACATACAAAGGTGTTTATGACCTCTGGTTATATGAGCAGAAAGAAATTTAAACAAGAGTGGAAAACTCAAGGGAGGTGGGATGGCAGTTCTTGTGAGTCCTCTTTGTGAGGCAGTTCTCTTCTCCAGGACATGTTGCTATCAAGATTCGTCTCTTCAGCCCTAATATTGAACTGTTGGGGGTTGGATTTTGGTCATATAGTTTCAGAGAATTTAGAAATGTTTTTTTGGTAACCATTTCATTTCAACCTTCTGCTGTTGCCAACACTATGTGTGATGGAATCATTATATGTCATTGTTGCTAAGCTGCAATCACAAGAGCCAAAGCCATATTTGGTAATAACTGGTGATTTTAAGGATTCCTAATTCTCGTGTATACTGCCAACCTGTGTGGTCAGCCATGAAAAAGATCACAGGGTTCAGCAGAAGATGTTTCAGACAGCTGGAAGTCTGGATAGAGCCAATGCCATGAATATATCTTTAATAGATTTAGTTTAGGAACAAGCTCACCAACTTCCTCCTCTTGCCCACAGTTGAACGGACATCTCATCCTTCTCTGATCCAAAGTTTCCCTTCCACACCACAAATGTTTCATCTTCCTTATACATTGTTCCAATAATAAAGAAACTCAGCTAAAATTTCTAAATTACTGAGGACCTGTTGCCCCAACATCCCATATCATGAAGGTCCTAGAGAGCATTCCATTGGTCCACCTGGGCAAGCAAAAAAGCAGCTATCAACACTCTGACCATGGTAAGTTTGCTTATTGTTTATTGCCATGGTATTGGAGTTGAAGATGCCATCATACACCTGCTTCAACAAACCCAGAGTCTTTTAGACAAGACAGACATCAGTGAATCTTACACAGTTCATCCTTACTTTGTGAGAAAGTCCAGAAGATCAAGGTGGAGGCACCAACAATTTCCTAGATCAAAGACTACCTGTCAAACAGACCATAGTTCGAGAGACTTAAGGTCAGCTGTCAGATTAGGTAGTCAGCAGCACAGGAGCATCAGAGGGGACAGTATTCTCACCATTCCTTTTTAATACTTGGATGACTCTGCAGTCATTGGGTGCATCAGAGATGGAAAAATAAACTTAGCATAGTAACTGGTGAACTGCTTTTTGGCATGGTGTGAAAACATACACACATGCGTACGTATGTACACGTGCAATCAAGCACACACACACACACACACACACACACACACACACACACACACACACACACACACACACCCCAGCACACAATTGCACCTAAGGACAAGGATGCATTTACCTAACAGTCATATTATTAGACTTTAGAAGAAAGCCAGAGAGAACCAACACATGCATGGGGAGAACATGCAAACTCCATACAGAAAAGACCCTTGGCCAGGAATCAAACCCAGGATAAAACGAATATCTGATCCTGAACGTGAACAATACAAGGGAGAGTCAAATCCTATAACCATCATAAGAGGAGAAGTGCAGGTTGGTGGAAAAATATAAAATACCTTGGTGTTCACTAGGACAACAAGCTCGACTAGAGACGCAACCGTGAAATCATCCACAAGAAGAGAAAGAGCAGACTGTGCCTCTTAGGAAAGCTTTGGCCATTCAGTGTTTGCAGCAAGATGCTGGATATCTTCTATAAGTCTGTAGGGGAGAGTGTGATCTCTTCTGCCATCATCTGCTGTGGGGACGGCATTAGAACAAACAGCTTAAAAAGCTAGACAAACTAATCAAGAAGGATGGCTCTGTTCCAAGAACTCCTCTCGAACCTTTGGAGATATTTTCACAATAAAAATAATTCTTCATAAAATTAAGAACATCATGTACAAAAGTAAGCATCCTAATAATAATACTTTAAACACCAATACTGTCTTCAGTCGAAGACCTCTCCAGATTCAGTGTAAGACAGACCACTACAGAAGATCCCTCTAGCCTACAGCTATAAACATCTACAACAAATATATTGGGATTGGACAGACAGACAGACAGACAGACAGATAGAAACACCTGCCCAATAGCAAAGATTAAAAACATAGAAAATCAGATAAACACAAAATTGGATTCATGATAATAATAAAACCTCAGTCATTCAAGAGGCATTAAGCTGTGCAATGACAGCCAGGACAAAAGATGTTGTGTATCTCTCCGTTCTGCTTCTCACAGAAAATGCATTTATGAACTGAATTGAATTTGAGCCTTTATGATCCTTTCCAGTGGATAGAAAATTCATAATTTTAAAACCTGTGCATCCGGTTTTTATTTTCATGTTTGAACCATAATACCTAAAAAAGATGTAAAGTTGGAAACTGCACGGTTACTCTTATTTCATTCTACAAGCAACAGCATTTCAGAAGAGGTCAATGTTAAATCCTCGGGGTGTAGTGACTGTATTTTCTAGCATTTTATTCCAGCAGAGTAATCACATAAGACTGTGGTGAAGACAGAGAAGTGCTATGAAGATGCAGCCATGTGGGAACATTACCATTTAGGAGAACAGCCCGCCTCTGGCCTCTGAGCTGCCCGTCACTCAAAGGCGTCAAACTACAGTGCTACATGACCTTTATATTATCTTTGGGCACATGGGTAGAAGAAGTTAGACCTCAAGGGCAACCAGCGGGAAGCATCATTTCCAGATGAACACTTACAAAAAAACAAAACACTAAAAGTCAATTTGGTTATATATTAAAATTAATTATTCACACTCCTTAGCTTACCGGTAGTAAGTGAAAACCAAACATGCAATAAACGTCCAATCACGTCCCAAAAAAACATTTATTTTTATGGTTTTCCTTAGGCTCGTCTCAGCACCTAGAAGGGATCTGTTTTATAAAAGTGAAATCCAATTTCAACACAGCTGACATTTCACAAGTCCTGGTGGCCTTTTAATACCTCTAACACAATTCTAACTGTTCATTGGAGACCTATTTACTGTCCCTCAGTTGCACAGCTGCAGCAGAGGACAGAGGCTGAAGTGGACATAGTGGGTTTAAGGCATTTCACCTGCTAGACTTTGCACTGCATGTGTGAAAGACTTCACTTAGCACCGCCTCTGGTTGGTAGAAAGGCATGTGAGTGCTTGTTTGCTCCCACACAGTGTGAGTGTGTTAAAGGGCAAATTTGTTGTTCACTCTGACCTCTTGACAATCAAGATTTGCCTTTGAGAGACCAAACACATAAAGGTCAAGGTGCTATTTACTCAGTCAAAAGGTGTTTTAGAAAACTATAGTTTTGACTTGACTTTTGTTTTTCATAAGGCCATCAAAAAGAGTAGGAAATACGTGATTCAAGCAAGACAAATATAAGGCATTATTTAATATACAAGAAAGAATTACCTTGAAACACAGGCAGGTTAAGTGCACAAAGCTTCAGAGAATGGAAACAGGAATGAGCACGGTACCACATCAATGAGACCTCAACATGAGCTGGTGTAGCAACACCAAGGATATGACGAAAGTATAGTTAACTGCTCTGGAAGATCAAACAAATCTTTGAAAAAAAATAAAAAATCTTCACCATCACTCAGACACACACACATATGTTCAACTCCAAAATGCAAAGTGCAGAATTGCAATTCAGTTAACAAAAGTAGTGGCAAAAACGTCCCACATAATGCTGCAATATGGCAATCACATTTACATTTCCAAAGCCGCTAACGCAATAATAAGCTGTGATACCAGCAGGATGTTTTACAACAAGTACCAATGTAACATTGCACCGCTTTCATTGGTACCGAGCTAAAACCTTGAAATGGACTCACAGTGAACTGACAGTTGATCTTTAAGCAGAGTTAAAAAAAAAAATAGAGTAAATACATCACCCATGTTAGAAATACAAAGAATGAAAATTAAATTGTATGCAGATGATGCATGATGCGTTTCAAAAAGAGTGATCGGAAACACTGCTGGGCTTGGAAGAAACCGCAAGATTGAAAAGAAATTAAAAGTACATTTTTGTGTAATGTGTATAAAAGCACAGATTTTTAATAAGCTTTAAAACTCCTTTAAACATTTTTGTTAATAAAAGTTAAGCAAAGCAAAGTGCAGAAGTCTGAAAGCATGTGCCACCATTTTTAAGTTTAAAAAAAAAAAAAAAAAAAAAAAACTAACAGGATCATTCAAGTTTCCAGAGGAAGTTGCTCTAAAACACTCCATATCTCCTTTTCACAGTCCTTGGACCAATAAAGAAAGTTCCTCTGCACGTACTTCAAGCTCGGTGCATCCTTCATCTGCAAAGCAGCATCATCACCAACAGGGGGCCCCAAATCTCAAGCCATGGGAATATTGTCTCTTCATTGGCAGGGAATACTACCATTACCAGTCACATTCATTACTTAAACAAAAGAGGTACCAACACTTTCGTCAACACAGGAGTCTCAACAGACTGCTCTGAGTTAGACATCTGTTGTGCGGATGCCATCATCATCCAAGCTGAAGGGAAAGGCAGAGTGAGGTTGGGGCTGTGAGCGATGCCGGCGCCGCCCGCTCGCAATGTCTGCAGACGCTGTGAGCATCACAAGCCCGCTGCTCGCAGATCCACTGGGGCAGGGGGCCGGGGTGGTCAGGGAGTTAGAGGAGGATGAGGTGGAAGAGGAAGTAGATGAGGAAGAGAGGGAAGGCCGAGTGGGAACAGGGCTAAAAGGGCTGTCCTCATCATCCATGTCTACGATGGAGGGCTCACCCGGAGGCACGGGCGTCCAGGGCTGCCAGCCTGGAGCCACAGAGCAGGATTTAACCAGCTGGGGCCGCATCTCACTACTCTGCAGACGAGAGGCACCGCTAGCATTCTGTTTTTGATGGAGAGAAGAAACTCTTTTGAACTGATATCCCTGCAATTACAAGACATGAAAATAGGACAATTATTATTTAAAATCAATATTTACCTTTCATATACATAGACATACACACACCCCTTGAACATTTTGTTATGTTGTAATATATTACAACATAATAACATTTCATGACAAGCTCAAAGTAGCAGATAATTATGAAGTGGAAGGAAAATAATTCATGTTTTACGAAGAACTTGTGTTCAGGAACCAAGAGTGAAATTATTGAAATTTTGATCATTTTCTGTATGTGCAAAAATATATATTTTTTTTAAATCTTGCAACATTGCTTAATTGATTTACGTCATTTAGGCCATTTAAGCCAATTAAATGCTTTGATTTAATTTGTTGTATCGTAGTTCTTGTTTTAAGATTAGAGTGAGTTTGCTGATGGACGCAGGGGCAAAGATTTACTTCCCAGCATTAAACAACTCTAAAAGTAAAGCAAGAGTAGTACCATGACATGATTCAATTCACTTCAATTCAGTTTATTTGTATAGCGCCAATTCACAACACATGTCATCTCAAGGCACTTTATGTTTCACTAAATCATACAGTCAGATTGATTTAAAGTTTTCTATTTAAAGAAAACCAGTTGATTGCATCAACTCATTGACTCGATGGCAATTCCTCACACTAAGCATGCTTGTAGCGACAGTGGAGAGGAAAAACTCCCTTTTAACAGGAAGAAAACCAGGCTCAGTGTGAGCGGCCATCAGCCGAGGCCATCTGGGGTTCAAGGAGACAGAAGCAGAGATACAAAAGACAACTGTAAATGTCACTATCATCCAAGCTGATGGGAAAGGCAGAGTGAGGTTGGGGCTGTGACTGCCTGCTCGCAATGTCTGCAGACGCTGTGAGCATCCCAAGCCCGCTGCTCGTGCTGGGGCAGGGGGCTGGGGTGGTCAGGGAGTTAGAGGAGGATGACGTGAAAGAGGAAGTAGATGAGGAAGAGAGGGGAGGCCGAGTGGGAACACAGCCATTCCCTGCCACCACTGAGGATGGTGTGTTTAGGTTTACTATTTAAGCCACACTCGTGAATTGCACTAAATAATAGTAAAAGGGGGTGATTAAAAAGTACTTTCTTTGACTTGTTAAAATATTTGAAACCCTTCAGAACCAAAACTACATCAGAACCATGCAACCTTTAGTTTGTCTATCACTTAGAAGCTACATGATATTCAAAGAAATGTGTTTGTAATTTGGAAGAGGTTTTAAAAGTTTAGGAGGATAAAACACGTTTTGCAAGAAAGTGGCTATTACAAAACTTGAAATAAAAATGTGCTTATATGAGACTGAAAGAAACTTGGGTTACCCGTGGCGGTCCTCTGAATTCCCGAATTTTCGTCTCAATATCCCTGATCCAACCGTGCATTTCCTCTGGGGTGTCTGTCTGTAGAGAAAACCAGAGGATAAACTTAAAACAATATCTCAGAAATGATGTTTAAGCAAACTACTAAGAACTATTAAGAGTTCAAACAATTTGAGTCTTTTGCTTAATCTATGGGTGAAGCAATAAAAACAGGCCTAATAAATACGTTTTAGTAACGGTCAGCTATGTGTCAGCTTAACATATTTATTGTATCTAAACAACAAAAGCTACAATTACACATTTTTCAGGATGCTTTGCTCTAAAGGCATAAAAGCCATTATTTATTTTATTTATTATATACTCTAATAATCCCAGAGGGAAATTACTTCTCTGCATTTAACCCATCCCCTTGGGGAGCAGTGAGCTGCCATTGTGAGGCGCCCGGGGAGCAGTGTGAGGTTAAGGGTCTTGCTCAGGGACCCAGAGTGGCAGTCTGTGGGAGTGAGGGATCGAACTCACAATCTCAGGTTTCAAAGCCCTATGCCCTAACCACTAGGCTGCCGCTCCCCCAAAACTGCTAACAGTTTTCATTTTTGTTGCATTTTTTGTGTTTATTTAAGTACATTTTACCATCAAAGAATGTAAAAATCTAAGCTACTATGTTTAAACTATTGTGACTTTGAGTCACAACAGTTAAGAGTTAATTTTTCCCATGCATGGTAAGGTTAATACCTATATGCAAAATGGGGAGCATTTTCCCCCGGGCTCTTATGCAAAAAGAAGCTGTTCATCTTTAACTGTCCCCATCTTTTATAATTCGTACCTACCTTTTTAGGTAGCATAAAAACATTTAGGTTAATATTTATAAACGAGCAAAGAAAAATGAAAGCAGCCTTGCAATGACATTAGTCATGGGTCAACCTCTAGGGCGACATGGTACAACTCTAGCAAGATGGAAACTAAACTTAAGGGAAGAAAGAAGCGAAAAATGCTGATGTTCAACAATATTTATCATCTATTTCAGGTTTGTTTCCCCCTTTAGAAAAATAAGAACTTTAAGAATAACTGACAGCAAAATCTTTAAAAAAGGATATTTATGTAAAATATTAAAATAATGATTTACAAAAATCTTGGTGTTATTTTAAATCAGGACTTGTCATTTAAATCCCATGTTAAACAGCTTTCTAAAATTTCTGTCTTTCTTCTACTAAATAGTGGGAAAATTAGATGTATCCTCTGCAGAGGTGATGCTGCGAAACCATGCATTTTTTACTTTAAGGCTGGACTGGATTATAATTCTTTACTATCAGGAAGTCCACAAACTGTAGTTAAAAGTCTTCAGATGATCCAAAATGCTACAGCTAGAGTTTTGATGAAAATACAAAAAGAGAGATCACAGTTCTTGGATTTTAGCTTCCCTTTAATAGCTTCCGGTTAATTCCAGAATAGAATCTAAAATGCAAGGCTCCCAATCAGCAGGTTTAATAGTGGTTACTAGAATTTTTTTTTAAGTAGATTGAGAAGTAGAAAAAACAACTACCAGCTTTAGTCTGAGAGGGAGACACCCTGTCTACTTTTAAGAATAGGCCTAAAACTTTCCTTCTAAATAAAGCTTATAGTTAGAGTAGAAGAGGTGATCCTGAGGTATCTCTGTAGGTATGCTGCTATAGGCTTAGGATGCAGGAGGATATAGGGACCACTTTTTCTCGTCATGGTACCTTCTGGCCTGGCACTCTTTCTAGCTGTTACACCACTCCTTGAGGAAGGCATCAGCTGGGCTGTTGCCATTATAACACGCTTCGAAGAAGACAGGCTTTGGCATGTTTTTCAGTATTTTGTTCAGCTTCTCTACTAGATATAGCTAGTTGTTCAGCTTATATTGAGACAAAATGTATGTGCTTTGTTTTATCCTTTTTGTGAAGAAAAAGGATAAAACAAAGAATTCATTTTTTTCTAGACAGAGCAAACTATAGAGCTAGTTTACCATTAGCTTTTGTATCCCAGAAATATTCATAAACATTTTCATTTTGTGTGTGCACTTTAGCCTTCTTGAACCCTAAGTTGGCCCTTAGCAAAAATCCGCTCTCACTGAAACTGGTTCTGCTGGAAGTTTCTTCCTGTTAAAGGAAGTTTTTCCTCTCCAATGTCGCTACATGCTCGCTGGACGTGAGGGTTTGCTGCAGATTCAAACACACAATGCAAGCATATATCTATGGTTGCTACATGTTCATCTAGGAAGAGCGAATCTTGCTAAGTCGATGACTGGATGCAATCAGCAGGAAATCTTTAGACAAAAAGCAGTTTGTATGTAGGATACAATTTATTTCTCCCTGTAAAGAGCCTTAAGATGGCAATACATAAATAAAGTAATTTGGAATAAAATAACAATTAAAATAAATGTGTTTTTTCTTTTAATCTAGAACAATAAACATGTTAACCACAATATCCAATTCGACAACTAATGTCCAAATATGCAGAGAAAAAGGAATGTTGAAGATCCAGGGGCCTCATGAACAAAAGCGTGCACATCTCATCATACTGACAATTTGTGATTGGGAGAAAATCTGAAATTTGCGGTGAACAAAAAAATTCAGATGTATAAAAGCGTGAGAACAGTTGTCACTTCACACTTTCCCTTCATACATCGTATTATGCGTCCAATTAATTGCAGCCTCACATGACTGACAGATGGAAGGATAGTCCTTCTATCATTCAACTAATGTATATTGTGAAAATCTTCTATTCAACATAACATTTTAACCAATCTGTTTGTCTGATTTATTTGCCATAGAGCCTTGAGATAACATATTATGAATCGGTGTTATGTAAATTAGCTGAACTGAATTTAATTGAATCTTTGACTTAGATGACTTTATTGTCATTTTGTTTACAAAAATACATTTTATTTATACAGCTTTCAGACAGTGAATGAGCAGCAGCTTAGCAGTGAAAAGGAAAAGGAACATTTCCATTTCATAAAGGAGGGTTGGAGGGTTTGAGCATGACTGATGACTGATTATTAGTTGGAAAACATGTAGAAAAACATGTAACAAAAAATTATCTGTAGTCCTCATATTGTAGATTGAAAAAGAAAACATATCTCAATAAAATGAATCTTTTATTTTTTTTTCTCCAATTCTATATTTCTCATACAAACAATGAGACATGGTAAAGAGTGGAGTTTTATAATATTTTTTTCACATACATCAAGACTGATCAGAAACCTGTAGTTCAGGCATTGTCTTAGTTTTATAAAGGTCTGTTTAATGTGCAGTTAACCTGCAGACCTATGGATCTGTCCGTTTTTCCTTCTTTATCAAATATTTCTTTGTTTAAGAACGATGATTTGAACGTCTAAAAAGCAGGTGAATAGTTTAACAGACATGTTCAAACGAATATGAAACTACTGATCTTAAAAGCTGATTCAAACATTTTTCAAATTAATCCCAATATACTATCCATTAAAAGCTCATGTATACTAAATGTACACAAAAAATATGCTAACTTAAGTTCTAAAATACTTTTCACAGTTTAACTTATTCATTAAAATACATAAATATATGAAAAATGTATCAGCTAATGTTTTAGTCAGATAAAATATAAGCTCTATTTATCTGCATGACATTAGTGTTTTATGTTGATGTTCTTCTTTTAATACAAGGTTTTTGACAGTTCCATATCAACATTTATAACTTGTATCCTCATATAATAATACTACTTAGGATTTTATCACTTAAACATAAAAGCTGTAAAAAGCTGGATTTGCTTTCAGGTTTTTCCTTCAGGTTCTAGGTTGTGGCATCCATTTCCAATTTGTTTTTGTGTTTATCCGAGATCATCAAGTCTTTTTTCGCACTTCCTTTTTTCTCTCACTAACATTAAAGCACTCGTGCTTGCAGCTAGTCTCGTTCTCTCCCTTGACTTCCCATCTGATTGGATGCTGACGCCTTGGTCAGCTGCTCTCCCAAGGGGAGGAACAGGATACCATTGCTGTTATGGTAACACATGGCTGCGTCCTTTTCTTAAAAACAAACTGTTTAGGCAGCTAAAAAAGGAGTACGGGCCACACATCAGCAGCAGAGCATTTCGAGAAAAACATCTCAAGACATCAACAGAAACACCTGGGATTCTAAAGAAGACCTCTATCCTCAACAGCAGATAAAAAAGAATTTGTCTTTTCATATACAGTGCATTTCCTCCTTTATATTTTTAAAAATTGCTTACAATCACAGCCACATATTTAATTGGAAGATAATCACACTTTCCTTGCAGATCTATCAGCTTACTGCATCCAAACTGATTTGTCTATTAGTCATTTAAACTTAAATTATAATGCGATAAACAGTTTGTCAGCTTGGACGGGAACATTAGTAAACATCAACTTTTAAGTCCTTTGGATTAGATTTAGGTCTGGACTTTGATTAGACCATTCAAACATATTAATATGCTTTCATATAACCTGTTGTTTCTCTGGTTAAATAGTAATGGATGCATTCCAGCTTAAAGGAACCTCTATTTGTGTCAGAAGTCTTTTGGGGCCTCCAGCACATTTCTTCCTGGATTATCATGTATCTAGCACCATCAATGTCCCAATGAAGTCTGACTAGCTTCCCTGTCCCTTGCCAAAAAAAAGTTTCCCAACAGTATAATGCTGTACCTTCATCTTTCACAGCAAAGATTAAGTTTTCATTGGAAAAAGTGATATTTCGGTCACATCTAACTAGAGCAATGTCCTACACATGAAAGCTAGCTGGCCAACATGGTCTGTGAAGAACAAAAAACAGACGTTCTTTTGGCATTCCTTAATCTTCCAATTGCTCCATAAAAGCCAGACTTGCAGACTGCACTACTAATATTTGCTAACAGAATCTCCCATATGAACTGTGGATCCCTACAGCTCCACCAGTTACTTATAGCGTCCATTCTAAGCAGTTCATTTTACACATGCTTCATATTTTGTTTTTAAAACAGAATTGAAAAACATTTATGATTTTCTGTCCCCCCCAAAATTCAAAATGGGGTTTTGGTCTGTCACAACAAATCCCTACAACTTACTTAAAATGTTTTGGTTGTAACGTGACAAACTGTTATTTAAGGGGTGCACATATGTTACTTTGCAAACAAAATACATGATGCTAAAAAAATATATATATACAAAACACTTTTTTTTACCTGGATGTAAAAAGTTCGGGAGTTGGTGATGATCTCAAAAAGATTGTCTCTAAACAGGAGATCCCTGAAGGAAATCAGAGTAAAGAATGTTTTTTTATACTTGCTTTATTTAAAAAATTTAACTCTCATGGTTTAAATGAAAAATTTAATTTTCCCATAAGCAACAACAGATCATTATTAGCTACAGTATCTGATACTACTTTGATTTAACTATAATTTGAACTAAGACACTGGTTTTGTAAATAAAGTAGAAACAGGCAAACTACCATCATTACTGGCTGATTTCTAATTTAAGAGCTCACAACGTGTCAGTATCATGGTTGTTTTTAAAGATTATATCATGGAAAGTGTGCTGCAGTAACCTTTATTTGCAGAGTTTAGATGCAAAGTGAAAAAGTGCATTCAGTATGAAACTATGCAGCAGCAGGTTTCATACTTAGTCTCACAGAAGCTGAAACTGACTCCTGTGCAATAAGATCTAAGCTCCATGATGCACTAAAAAGGCAAACCAAAACAAACTTGAATGGGATAAAAATAGCATACACTGAAACTTTCAAATGATATCTAAATGTTGTATTTCTGTTCATGTCTATTTCCGATATATAAGGCAGATTAGGAGAAAGCACAGTCTGATAGGGCTGAACCAGACAGATTTTTTTTTTTTTTGACTCACCCAGACTTGACAAGACATTCATGGACCTTCTGAATGTCTCTGAGCGGAATACCTCGAAGAGGCTCCTTGTCCTGATCATGAGCAAACAAACTACAGTCATGATGAGAGCATTAAAAAGAAAACAAACAAAAAA